TGGACTGTTTTGGATTGCTAGCTATGGGGGGGGGGAATGTGCAGATCTGTCCTCGCAGAGGAGGGAGAGCTTGTACCTGAATAAAACTTGGTCTGCTTGGAGAATTTAGAGCAATGGGCACAAGAGGAAACTCGGTGTGCTTCCCCCAGGCATAAAAGGCAGAGAGAATGTCCATCTGGGGGGCCCATCTTACTGCCGCATTCCAGGCACCTTTTAAAGAAACCCCACCATGCGGCCATAGGCTGGGGAAAGGGGTGGTAGAAATGAAGTCCAGCAAACACACTACCTTTGGCAAAAGGAACAGCAGAAGATAGGAGAAACGGAGCAAACATTCATGACATGAGATCTCAAGTAGACTAGCCAGTCCGGAAGTCCTGACTAGTCTTGAAATCACCTTCACCGCCTTCACAACCAACTATATCAGCATGGCCAGTTCCTGTAGACAGACAACAATGGGGTCCAGAAGTTCCTAACTAACTAAACTTAAATAAAAGAAGGCCGAAAGGGCCCAAAAGTAAAGTTTTACCAACCGAGGCGGATAAGAGTCTTACCAGCGCGGCGGTCAGGAGAGAACTGGCGGGATTGTCATGCCCCTCCCTTGGTCATGCGCAGTGGAGCCCGGTAGGGGTTTAGGGGCTGCATCACAGTGGCCTACGAAGCGAAAGGGTTGGATCCACCGAGGGGGATCACGGCATATTCCCTACAGAGGGTAGCCACTTTGGCAGCATACAGAGCTTTCCCATGTCTAGAGATCGTCTGTAAGGCAGCAACCTGGAAATCAGTGAAATCATTCACTGGACACGACCTTTGGCTGCAGCATATCATATAGCTCCGAAGCTACGAATCCCATCCTGGGGCACACTGCTTTTGTATGTCCCAATAGTCAGGACTGCCCCACTCCTAGGACTACCAGAGAATGGATGATTTGTCTTCACTTACCATGAAGCTTCCCTCTCAGTGGTCCAGGAATTTATTTATTTATTTATTTTTGGATTTATATCCCGCCTTCCCCAAATGGGGCAGTCCTACCCACCCAATCTTAGGGATAGGGGCTTTGGGAGCTGCAGCAGTGTGCTGAAGAACAGGGAGTTCAGTCCCAAGGGATACCTCTTAAGAGGTGATAGACAGGTGGCACAACAGATGATGGGAAGCAAGGCTAGCTAGGGAAAGGCAAGTTGCCTTCAGGCTACGGACGAGTTTGAATTCTGACAATGCTCTAGTGGGCATATTCATTCATGTCCGGTTGGAAGGGATTTTGTTTGTCATTTTGGAAAGGGGAAATCATGACTTGGTAATGACCGGGGAGTATATTCCCTACAGAGGGTAGACACTTTGGATTGACTCAGAGACACTTACCCTGCTCAGGCGTATACACACTCTAATACAGTGTTAATTCATTTACATATAACAGGCTTACTGGCACCTTCTGGAAATACAACCTGTATTCTGCAATTGCCCATTATGTTCTTCCAGAAAGATGCCTGTATACTGAGCTGGACTCAGATTGGCCCGTTCTGTAACATTAAAAATCTATGGGGTTTTAGGGACTGTGGTTCATTTGAATATTCCTTTACTCCTCAGTCTAATGTCCTCAATTTTCACAGCAGAGCTTTTCACAGCAATTTGTATTAGACATTTTCTTTCAAAGGATAATTATAGTATGCAAATATTTGTACAGATTTTTTTTAACATCTTCAGGCTACATCCAAGAGTCTTTCTCTACCTCTTATACATGGGGAGAGAAAAATCTGAAGCACTAAAAGGGTAATGGATTTAATGAATTACTGGCTACTATCACCAGGTAGAATGTTTCTTTAGTTATCAAAATGTAGACATGGGGGGGGAGTGTCAGTTAATGATAATTTTGAGTGGAGTACAAAAGCAGCACTCCAATATATATTGTGATTGCAGAAGTAGAAGACAGTTCTCTGCTGAGAGAGATGGGAATGCAAACTACACATCACTGATTATCAGATTCAGCCTGTGCACATCATCATTTAAATTTAAAGCACCAAGAATATTAAGTTCCAAGTATGGGCCACTTACTGCTAACAATTCACAACATAAAATACACAGAAAGCTATTGATGCACTTGCCTAGATACCTAATTAGTACCTGTAGTAAAATTATGTATCAATAGTTTCTAAATATTGGATAGGGTTGGTAACCAAAGATGCAAATTACTTAACAAGACAAAGATGTGAATTACTTGTCCCATCACCATAGTTGTACAAGTCAACAGATATCACATTCCTTTCTACTAACCTTTGTTTGGTTTTGGGGCACATATCCGTAGAGACCTTAGCTTCTAAACTGACAGGACAAGACAAAGGTGGAAATCGAACAGTCTCATTTAGGAAGTCGTCTCAGGGACAAAGGGTTTCAACTGCCACTTTGAGCAGGTGGATTAGGGGCTGCATCACAGTGGCCTACGAAGCGAAAGGGTTGGATCCACCGAAGGGGATCACGGCATATTCCCTACAGAGGGTAGACACTTTGGATTGACTCAGAGACACTTACCCTGCTCAGGCGTATACACACTCTAATACAGTGTTAATTAATTTACATATAACAGGCTTACTGGCACCTTCTGGAAATACAACCTGTATTCTGCAATTGCCTATTATGTTCTTCCAGAAAGATGCCTGTATACTGAGCTGGACTCAGATTGGCCCGTTCTGTAACATTAAAAATCTATGGGGTTTTAGGGACTGTGGTTCATTTGAATATTCCTTTACTCCTCAGTCTAATGTCCTCAATTTTCACAGCAGAGCTTTTCACAGCAATTTGTATTAGACATTTTCTTTCAAAGGATAATTATAGTATGCAAATATTTGTACAGATTTTTTTTTTAACATCTTCAGGCTATATCCAAGAGTCTTTCTCTACCTCTTATACATGGGGCGAGGAAAATCTGAAGCACTAAAAGGGTAATGTATTTAATGAATTACTGGCTACTATCACCAAGTAGAATGTTTCTTTAGTTATCAAAATGCAGACATGGGGCGGGGGAGTGTCAGTTAATGATAATCTTGAGTGGAGTACAAAAGCAGCACTCCAATATATATTGTGATTGCAGAAGTAGAAGACAGTTCTCTGCTGAGAGAGATGGGAATGCAAACTACACATCACTGATTATCAGATTCAGCCTGTGCACATCATCATTTAAATTTAAAGCACCAAGAATATTAAGTTCCAAGTATGGGCCACTTACTGCTAACAATTCACAACATAAAATACACAGAAAGCTATTGATGCACTTGCCTAGATACCTAATTAGTACCTGTAGTAAAATTATGTATCAATAGTTTCTAAATATTGGATAGGGTTGGTAACCAAAGATGCAAATTACTTAACAAGACAAAGATGTGAATTACTTGTCCCATCACCATAGTTGTACAAGTCAACAGATATCACATGGAGTGACTCTCCTCAATTATCAGCTGAATTGGTAGGCTTTTCCCCAGGTGGCTGTGCACTATGTTTAAATTTTCTAACCCCCTCTTCCACTCATCCCTGTATCTTGTCTCCACTTCTAAATGCGGAGACCACAAATACACAGTTCATCCATCACTTTGGAAGTTATGAAGCCACAGTGTAAACCAATAACTCACAAACTGTGCTTAAGGGAAACCTAGTTTTCTTCACAAGCTCATTAGTTATTTTCTCAGTGACAAGATAAGTAATGATGGAGGAGCTTCCCCAAAACACACTTTGCCCATGAGTACCTTCAACATTGCTGGATGCATTATGAGATTCATTCATAGTCATAGAATACCAACGAAACCCAAAAAGAATAATCAGAATCCCCAAGTGAACAGAGAGTGAGATCTTGAATGCTTCCCAAAACAGTAGCATTCCCTTGGCTGACAGATTAGCAGCAGTCTTATGCCGAAAGGGTTCTTTGAAAGTATGAATTCTGAAAACCATTGACCCTCAAGTTTCAACACATAATAAGCATCATTAGGCAGCCTTAGAAGCATGGACAAACATGCGCACAATTTACCTTCTGTGGCAGGAAACTGATCGTGCCCTTCGCTCTTGGTCTCTGCAAGTTTTCCTGTTCTCAGCAACACTTCTGCAAAGCTTTCTGAAGGATTGTGCTGATATGTGGTATAAGTAACTTCATTCTACAAAATAGAGATTTTAAGCAATGTGACTATTTATAACTTGTGCTATGCCGTGTATTTGATTTTCCTATTGTTCCCTGTGATAACGGATGTCACAGCTGCCTTAACAAACACATCTCAACATTGTTCTAATCAGAGCTAGTTCTGTGGCAATTTAATTAAGATTATTATTTAAACTACAGTACTTGAACTACACTTTTAGCCTTAGCTGTTTATTGCCACAATGAAGGGCAAATAAATTGGTTCTAGATCAAATCAAGCCTGAACTCTCCCTGGAAGCTAAAATGACTAAACTGAGGCTATAGTTGTGCCATTCAGTCATGTCCAACTCTTGGTGATACTATGGGCCAGCTCTTTTCACATTTTCTGATCTTGTACTGCTTCTTTGAGTCGTTCCATGCTCAGGCTGGTGTTAACTTTTATCATACTTCAATCGTATTATGAGAATACAAGAGTTACTGGAAAAGACAATAATGCTAGGAAGAGTAGAACGCAGTATGAAAAGAGGAAGACCACATATAAGATGAAGTGACTCAATAAAGGAAGCCAGGGCTCTCAGTTTGCAAGGCCTCAGCAAGACTGTTAATGATGGGACATTTTGGAGGTCACTAATTCAGAGTGTCGCCATAAGCAACCTGATGGCACATAACACAAGGAGACAGAATCCAGAAAGGAAGCTGGGCTAGTCTGTCGCACTGAACAAAAAAACACCTTGAAGGTCCTTAAAAAGACTATTGATGTTATTCTGACACACGCCTCCTGAGATGTATTTGATGAAGTGGACTCCATCCATGAAAAAATGCGCTGTAAAAAGTTGTTCATCATTGACAATACCCTATGTTGTTTCAGGATGGTTTCATTTTCAATATAGATGCTTTTTAGCTATCCAAATATGTTTAAAACTTACATTTGCAAGGTATGGATCGTCTATCAGAGATTCATAGAAAGGATGACAACCTTGCTTTTCAATTGCTGCATTTGCACCAGGTGTGGTTTTCAATACATCTCCAAACTCTTGTCCCTTTAGAAAACAAAACACAGATAAGCCTAATTTAAAACAATGAGGTATCTCTTGAGACATTCATGCATTTCACCAGATACTATGAGAGAAGGTACCATAAGAGATATGTGCAGGCAACATCTGTCTTCCCTTGTATTCCAGCTATGATACGGGATACAGGATAAAATGCATATCCAACCCCACCATACATATCGTATTTGTACATACTTCCATTTACCCAAACAGACCCCCTTATGATAATGAATGCAAGGATAGTAATAAAAAGACCCCGTGGAGAACAAAGTGAGCACTTGTTCCTGCTAAACAGCTGCAACAAGCATTTGTAGTTACTTCTTACATGTAACGGCCGAAGGTAAGTCAGTGACTTCTTCCACCACTGTCGGTCACTGACGGCATGCAGCATGGCTTTTGTGGTCAGAGTCGTGTCAGAAAGGACCTTCATAGTTTTAGCGGTGGTCCATTGCAACAGGTCAGCAGACTGTCTAGAAGGAATGTTGGTATCAACCTGTGGGTTCATGCAATACACAACCCATAAGCATTAAATACATCCTGCAAAACTTAATTAGAAACATGCATGGAAACCATAAGGAAAGAGACTTTCAAGCATTGTAACACCTGGCCAAGTAAGCAATTCCAATAGTTATCCTTTTTAAGTAAGAATTTTGACATATAAGAACACAAGCACAGTTAATACATCAAAAATGTAGGATTTTAGACATTCTGATTACTGCATCTTTACTAAAATACTGTGAAAATATAAATAAAAATTAGCAATGTGGTTAGATAGCCAGTTATGGAAATAATTCAGAATATGAACGAACAAACAATAATTAGAAACAGTAGATATATAATGAACCCTGACAATAAATGAAATTATTATAGCATTATTTTGTTTTATAGGAACCTGGTACCCATCAATGGATAGAAGAAAAAAATCTCAAAATACAGAGGGAAGACATGTTTCTTTCTCAGTTCCTTGAGGCTGTTACAACTAAAACAGATATTAAGACCACAAATGAGGCACAACATTAATTAAACATTGTCATTTCAAAGTGAAGCTTTCCCCTCTAAACTGAAGCAATTTAACTGGTAAGTGCCGCGAAAGGTACTATTTTTGTGTATGATGGAAGGGGGGTAGGTAGATTTGTATCACAAGGGTGGTACATGACGTGACAAGAAGGGCTTCACCATTTGTCAGGTGCTGTTTTCCCCAACCTCAAATCACTGTAATTAATCCTGTGAGAAAATGTTACCCTCAAAGTTACGTATGTTTCTCCTCACAGGGAAAACCAAAAGTTAGGGGTAGGGCAGGGTTGAAATTTATTTACTTCATTTATATTCTGCCTCTCTCAGATCAGGAAAACGAGGAAGGGGGAACATTAAATTCTCTCCAAACAGCTTCCCTTGCTCGTTTTAAAATAACTATGGGAGATCTATTCAAAATTTTCCACCCATCTCACCCAAATGAGCCCTCATGAGAATCACTGAAACTTATTAAAAGCAGCCAAAATAAACAAGATCCATAAAGCACCCCAATTCTTTTGGAAACCTTACAATGCCCCTCACAACACTCCTCCTCCCCATCAAAATCTCTGAGGAACAGTCAAACTCCATCCAGAAAGCCTGTTAGGCACATGTTCCTGAAGAATGGCTAAGAATCAAGCTGAACGGAAGATCATGTAAAAAGAGTAATAGTGTACTAAATGCAGCAAAATCACACTCCAACAAATATTCTGTTATTCCATTGTTGTAGCTGGAAAGAAAGTGCATACTTAGTGCTACAGAGATAATCAGTGACGATGATTTCATATGTTTGAAAGATATCAAGTGTTGTAACTTTTAAAAAAAGTAAGAGGAAACAGAATGCCCAAGTGTAACGTTATCATGATCAGTAGCAAAAAGAGGTGACCTCCTACCAACCACTGAATAATCAATTGGAAATTTTAGTTCTAAGGTTCACTAACAGGAAGGGACTACATGCTGAGCAAAATATGGCAAAATTTCCATTCTCCTTAGAAAATAAATGGCAAAGAGATGCATTGAGCTATATTTAAAGGAAAGGAAAAAATCAGCCACTGCTTGGAGCTTATTTTACACACACAAAATAGCTTAGAACCTTTTTCTCCCCTTCCCCATTTTATCCTCACAATAACCCTGTTAGGTAGGTTAAACCGAGAGAGAAAGACTGGCCTGAGGTCATCCTGTGAGTTTCATGGCAGAGTGGGGATTTGAACCTGGGTCTCCAAGGTACTAGTATAACACTCTAATCACTACACCATGGTGGCATTAATTTCAGAACTGATTATATACTCATTGTTTGATCCTTGAACAAATCACAGGAGACCTGGATTAGATGGGCGTTTGGAGCTAAATGAGGTGTTCCAAAAGCTTAGAAGGCTTGCACAGCTCAAGTATTGGAGTGTTGATTGATGACATTCTAGATTTAGCACACATAGAATGAGCAATGTATATGTGAAGAAAACACCTTGTGTAATTTTAATGCCAAGTGGGAAAAGTTTTCAGAATGTTTCAGCTGCAGTGGGTTAACTCTTAGTAGTTCACAACGCCCTGGGCAGAAGTCTTGGGTGTGTCCTCGGTGCAAGGAGCTCCTGGTTCTCAGGGAACGTGTGTGCTCCCTTGAGGCCAAGGTGGCTGACCTGGAGAAGCAGAGACAGTCAGCTAGGCACACAGAAAAGACTCTCGGGGACTTGTTAGCTTCGTCCCACTCTGGATCTGGCAGCCCCGCTGCTGTCAGGGAGCATGAGGGTCTAGGGGAAACAGGGCACCATGCTGAGGATAAGGGGAATGTGCCCTCAGAAGGGACCTCTTCCCCAGCTGGTGAGCGGCTCTCCTTTTGCACCAAGGAACCATCCCTGAGCAGGGTGGGAGGGGGGCTCTTGGTAGTGGGTGATTCGATCCTTAGGCAGGTAGACAGCTGGGTGGCGAACCCGCGTACTGACCGTATGGTGACTTGCCTGCCTGGTGCGAAGGTAGCGGACATTACGCGTGTTTTAGATAGGCTGGTAGATAGTGCTGGGGAGGAGCCAGTGGTCGTGGTGCATGTCGGCACCAACGATGTGGGGAAATGCAGTCGTGAGGTCCTGGAGGAGAAATTTAGGCTGCTGGGCAGGAAACTTAGGTCCAGGACCTCCAAGGTAGCCTTCTCAGAAGTGTTACCTGTTCCACGCGCAGGGCCGGAGAGACAGGCAGAGATCAGGAGTCTCAATGCGTGGATGAGACGATGGTGTAGGGGGGAAGGGTTCAGGTTTGTTAGGCACTGGGATACTTTTTGGAACAAGAGGGAGCTGTACAGGCGAGACGGTCTCCACTTGTCCCGAGAAGGAACCAGGCTGCTGGCACTTAAAATCAAAAAGGTGGCAGAGCAGCTTTTAAACTGAATATTGGGGGAAAGCCGACAGGAGATGAAAAGTCTCTGGTTCGGGTTGGCTCATCTGAGAGAGGTGAGGGGGTACCGGTTGCTTTTCTACAGGGAGGTGGATTGAAATTGTCCACAGAGGCCATGGCTGGTGACATGGACTGCCGGACAACGACTCGAGATAGCAAGAGGAAGGATGCAGGCTTAACTTGTAAGGGAAATTACAGCTGTTTCTATACAAATGCTAGAAGTGTCCGAGGTAAAATCGGGGAGTTGGAGTGCTTGGTGTCGGAGGGAAAAATAGACATTGTGGGTATTTCTGAAACTTGGTGGGATGAGGAAAATCAGTGGGACACAGTGATTCCCGGTTATATATTATATCGGAAGGATAGGGGGGGAAGGGTTGGAGGTGGGGTAGCTCTGTATGTCAGAGAGGGTATAAAGTCTAGAAAGATTGAGAGGCTAAGTGAATTGGATTCGCTTCTGGAAGTTCTATGGGTTGAAATAGGGGGGCCAAAAGGAAACTTAACACTGGGAGTTTGTTATCGCCCACCAGATCAAAAGATAGAGGAGGATTATAAAATGATGAATGCCTTAAAGATAGCAACTAGACAAAAACACTGTGTAATAATAGGTGATTTTAACTACCCACACATTGATTGGGTCAATATGTGTTCTAGTCGGGAAAAAGAGATTGAGTTTCTAGACACTCTAAATGACTGTGCTATGGAGCAGATGGTCACGGAACCTACCAGGGGAGAGGCGATCCTTGATTTGGTCCTAAGTAACACTCAAGACCTGGTGAGAGATGTAAAAGTGATTGCACCGCTTGGAAACAGTGATCATAATGTTGTTGAGTTCATCATTTGTACAAATAGAGAATTGGCCAAAAAGACTCACACAACCATTTTTAACTTTAAAAGGGGTAATTTCTCTGATATGAGGGGACACGTGGGGAGGAAACTGAAAGGAAAAGTAGAAAGGGTCAAAACAATTGGGGAAGCTTGGGATCTATTTAAAACTACGATCCTAGAAGCTCAAAAAATATATATTCCGCAGGTTAGGAAAGGCACAAACAGGTATAGGAAAAAGCCTGCATGGTTAACAAACAGAGTAATGGAGGCTGTAAAAAGTAAAAAGAATTCCTTTAAGCAGTGGAAAGCTAGTCACAGTGAGGCTGATAAAACGGAACACAGGCTATGGCAAATAAAATGCAAGTCTGAGGTCAGGCAGGCAAAAAGGGAATATGAGGAGCATATAGCAAAAAACGTAAAAACCAACAATAAAACTTTCTTCAAATACATTAGAAACAGGAAACCAGCCAGGGAGGCAGTGGGGCCCTTGGACGACCAAGGGGTAAAAGGAGTATTGAAGGATGATAGGGAAATGGCTGAGAAGCTAAATGCATTTTTTGCCTCCGTCTTCACTGTGGAAGATGAGAAGTGCTTGCCCACTCCAGAACCACTGATTTCAGGAGGGGTGTTGGAAGACCTGAGTCAGATTGAGGTGATGAGAGAGGAGGTCCTAAAACTGATAGACAACTTAAAAACTGAAAAATCACCAGGCCCAGATGGCATACATCCGAGAGTTCTGAAAGAACTCAAATGTGAACTTGTAGATCTCCTGACAAAGATATGTAATCTTTCCTTAAAATCTGCCTCCATTCCTGAGGATTGGAAGGTAGCTAATGTCACTCCCATCTTTAAAAAGGGTTCCAGAGGAGATCCGGGAAATTACAGGCCAGTCAGTCTGACGTCGATACCGGGTAAATTGGTGGAAACCATTATTAAGGAAAGAATTAGTAGGCACATAGATGAACAAAACCTATTGAGGCAGACTCAGCACGGTTTCTGTAAGGGAAGATCTTGTCTCACTAACCTGTTAGTGTTCTTTGAGGGGGTGAACAAACATGTGGACAAGGGGGATCCAATAGATATTATTTACCTTGACTTCCAGAAAGCTTTTGATAAAGTTCCTCATCAAAGGCTCCTAAGTAAGCTCAAAAATCATGGGATAGAAGGACAAGTCCTTTTATGGATCAAAAACTGGCTAGTTCATAGAAAACAGAGAGTGAGTGTAGGTGGGCAATTTTCTCAGTGGAGGGTGGTAAGCAGTGGGGTACCGCAGGG